TGGAAGCGCCTGGCCGTCCCTGGCGAGATGGGAAGACCGCCTCCCCCTGATGACAGGGAGCAGGACGACTCCGAGGAGGAGTTCAGGGGGGCAATAGCAGCAGGTGCTACCCGATGGATGCCTGACCTGTCGGACGCTGAATCGGGAAGTCGCTCATGGGGAGGATGGTGCGTCCCTTTCGTGATGGAGTGCTTGCGCCTACCTCAACATACTACGTGGGTAGCAGCCGCACTCGCGGAAGGCAGTTTCAACTCCATACGAGAGCTCGCCGATGACATATGCAATGGCGCATGGGGCCGCTCCTCCGAGAACCGTGCTGACATCATCTCCCACTTGGATTGGCTGGCCATACACGACATACCACTTTGGCGACGCCTGATCAGCCAGCATTGGGACGAGCTCGGGGAGATCAGGAGCAAGATGAGAAGATTACTGGGCGACAGGAGGATGCCTGACCACCTGCGCTACTACGACGACCAGCAGAGCGCCTACGAGGGGGAGTCTCTCTCTCTCTCTCTCTCATAAGTTTCAGGCCCTGCCTCCCTGTGACGTCGCCACGACCTTTGCCAGGAGAGTGCGCCAGAAGGTCTCCCAGGATCCCAGGCCGCCTCAGTCGTCTGATCCTGGCCTGGCTTTGACACCAAAAGGACTTACTGGTGGCGTCGTGCTCTCGGGTTCCAGGGATTCCCAGGGGACGTTCGGAGGACAGAATAATCTGGCGAAGAGCGCGTCCAACATATCGGCTCGCACTGTCTCATCACCGCGACGCCGAACACGCTGGACCCATCTCGCCAGGCTGCTTCGCCCTGGACATAGGCAGGACGTCCACACCGCCGAGGGCAAGCGGTACTTCGACGGCGCCTGGGACATCATCCACCTAGCCTGCAAGCAGCCTCCCCTGCAGTGTCTCTTATGCCTCCAGGCCTTCGCCAACATCATTATGCAGCACGTCGACCAGCTCGACAGACAACACGGCCGGCATAGAGTTCGCAAGTTCAAGTCATGGGCACGTGACGCGATGGTCACTGGCCCCGCGCAGGTCTACTCGATCACCAGAGTGCAGCCGTGGGCCCATGCGCAGATCACGCAGGGGAAGATCTCGACGTCGCACCCGCAGGCGATCGCAGACAGCCAGATGGACAGCTGGAGAAAGATTTGTGAGGGAGATCGCCGTGATGATGTAGACCTTCCTCGATCGCTCGCCGATCATGAAGACATGGACCTCGTGGCAGCTATTCGCCATCTTCCCCCTGCGGTCCTGCCAGTACCGACTATTGCACAGACGAGAAGGGCAGCAACAAAATTCAGGTGGCGCACTGGACTTGGAGCTGATGCACTTCCCCCGCGGGCCCTCTCCTTGGTATCGGACGCAGCTTTAGCCATGCTGATATACATATACTGGGCTGCCGAAGCTTGGATGCGCTGGCCGACGGTCATGCTCAACGTCCATATCATGCTCCTTGCCAAGCCACAAGGAGGGTTTCGGCCGATTGCCCTCCTACCAGCGACGTATCGCATCTACACGAAGCTCAGACTGGCTCAAGTTCGGAGTTGGATATCGCAGAACACCAGACCTTATTTTGCATTGGGCACCCACAAATGTACACTCGATGTGGGAGCACGCACCATGATTTACGCTGAGGCCTATGCCCGCGATAAGCAAAGGGCCACCACCACGACGCTTGTGGATATCAGCAAGTGCTTCGACCGAGTTTGTTGGCGACGTGCGCTGCAGGCTGCAGAACACTACGGATTTCCAACGCAGATCCTGCAGCTTTGTCTGGCAATGTACTACGCCCCGAGGCGAATCAAGTGGACCACTTCTTTCTCCTACGCGTGCCAAGTCAGTAGGGGAGTGCTCCCAGGATGCTCGATGGCCATGTTCTTACTGCAGTTGGTCATGATGATGCCTTTCGACGTATTCGAGAAATCCTTTGCCAACGCCGACGAGGTACACCATTCGCTGGATATCTACGCCGATGACATCACGATCCAGGTGGTGGCCTCGAGGCAGGATATTGTACACCAGACGGTGCGCATTCTGAAGAGGCTCGCAGCAGTTCTCAAGGCTCTTGATCTGCCTATTGCGCAGGACAAGGCGAACGTGCTGGCCTCAGATTTTGACATCGCACAGCAGGTGGCCCAGCAGGTTCATCGGCACGGTTTTCGGCCTTACAGGACTCTGGATGTCCTCGGCATGGAGGCCAAAGGCGGACACAGACTGAGCTTCGAAACGATTCGCAAGAGGGTGCGCAAGATGAAGATGAGGCTCCCGCGTTTCAAGAGGCTCAGTGGTCTGGCCAAAATCGGACGAGCGGTGGCCCAGCCATGTATTGCCCCCGCCATGCAGTACGGCATCCAGATCGTCGGCGCCACCAAGACGCTGATCAAGTCAATGGTCAGCATGGTCCGAGTGGGCTGGCGGCGTACACCTCCAGGCACATCAGTCTGGTTGGCGGCTCAGCTAGAGCCGCGTTTCTTTGAACACCCTGAGATGATG